AATTAAATATATTTATGTATCACACAACTAAACTGGCTTGCTAGTAATTTGGTTTTAATTGCATGTTTGTAATTCTCACTTTAGCGTTTTCCTATTGTCTCGTTCATTCTGTAAAATAAAATCCATTTCAGTTGCCGCGGAATATTATCTTTTTGTTTTTATCTATTGTAGTTATTATCAAATTAAAATAAATATAATTTATGAATTACAACAAGAAAAAGACTGTTTCTTCAAGCGTCGAAAACTTAGACACACCGATAGATTTGACATCTTATACTATACTTTCCTCACGGGTATTCCAAGAATAGAAATCATTCCTAAATTGTAAATTTCAGGCCTTAATAACAACTATGTTAAATACACGAGCGGTTACGACAGGTCGCTTTGTAGTCTACAGTCAAGACAGATAATTAAACTGATCAATTTGAAACATAATTTTATAGTAATAAATCTAAATACAAATTCCACGCCTATGCCAAGTTTCAAAATATTTTTTTAAAATAAAACAGAAATGTACTTCTATAAACAAACATCTTAGGAATCTGTGAACTTTGAACAAAATTGTGTATTAAAATTTTCGCTTTACAAAATCATCTTATTGCAGGTATGCGTAAATAAACAAATAAACGTGTTCTGAAATTCAAGTTTTTATTAAAATTGAACTCATTCATTACAAGGACGGAATAGAGACGGCTTCTGGGCTGTTATTTAGTTTGTAAACAAATCCGGCTTTATATATAATACATACTAGCATATATATAAATCCGGGTAGTAGTGAAAAGTAATGATTTATTTGTGATATATATTTATAATTTTACACGAATTCTGTTTTTCAGACCACAAATACTTAAATATTAAGACAAGCTTACTTCAAAATATATATATATATATATATATATATATATATATATATATATATATATATATATATATATATATATATATGCATTTCACAGAGATGAACGTCTTAAAAAACTTACTTAGGTTTTTTGTGTGACATGTAAAAGCTATGTACATTTATCAAGATAAAAATGGTTTTGGCACTGTGAATATTTTATCAATGAAACAAATTACGTATAAAACACATATTGACTTTATTTAAATTAATTTTGGGTAAATTTTGACATCGAATTTTTATCCGTGTCTATCTTTGACAAAATGAAAAACTGTGAAGCCCCTGTTAGTTCATTATTTTTTTAATTGATCGGTTTAAGCTTTATATGTTAAAAATATATCTCTTTTTACAGATACATAGAGTTCATCATATAAGTATCACTATAAGTTTAAGATTTCTGTTCGTTTTTGTCAATGGTCTTAAAGGTAGACTATTGTAGAAGACGGGATCGCTATTTTAAAAAGTCCGCGATACTTATGGTCTGGTCAAATTTAACTACCCGGAATATGATGAAATCACTATTCAAACAAAATCAATAATAATATGATCAAACTCAATATTTAGTCTTGATTCTTTTGATGAAAGTCTTTAAAGAGTGAAACAGTAAATCACTGTATAAGAAGTTAAACCGTCTCAACTTAAACGTTTGGCGTTTTTTAAGACTATATTTTAGCCTTACGCATTTTAACTTTATATGTTTTATATTTTAATGGAAAACTTGACAAACAGTAATAATTTTTTTTATATAAAGAATGGAACATTTGAATGAACATTGAATTTATAAACATAATCATTTCCCCTTGTGTGCTAATTAAATCCCTAAAAAAGTAACCTAGAAGCCCTAGCTTGCAATTCATTATTCTTGCAAGACGCAGATTATTATTTGGATCAAGTTCCATCTATCTCAGCTATCTTCCTGGCTGTGTTGACTGGTAGCATAATATTTGTACGTGTATATACAGGGTGACTGGTGAATTACTATCAATATTTAAGGAGCATACTCGGTACATGATTCTCATTCGAATTATGTAAAAAAAATAGGTACTTAATTTTTGACCAAATTTCCGTATAAATAAATAAAGTGTTGACACGTTCCAAGTGTTCCAACTGTGGACGCGTGCGGCGGCGTGCTGATACAACACTACGCCGCAACACGCGTATGTGTGTGTGTGTGTGTATACCTAATCTGTAGGGTGTTCATACGATGCGTAATTAATTACATAACTTTTGGTTAACTTTACTTAGAAGTTTATTAATATTTATGTTATATTAATTTTTATTTTGTCATATATGATCGTCAAATATCACGTCCTCAAATATCAATAGTAATTCACCAGTCACCCTGTATATTAATATCGTGCTGTAATAGTTAATTAGTTCTTTTTTTTTATCGATCACTTTATATTTCTTGGTCTTTAAAAAATTGTTAGATTTATACATATAATTTTATTTATTACTTTGAAAACTAGTTTTCAAAGTAATACATAAAATGTAGCAAGCTTATTACAAATTAAAATAGAGCCTTTTTCAAGTATCATTATAGTTATAATGAAGATTTACTGGCGAATGAAATATTTCATAAAAGATGTAAATATTATAGCGGGACAGCGTTTCACTGATACAAAAAGAAAAAGTTTCTTGAAAATAAAATTGTTACAGAACATTGAACGGAGTCTAAATTTTTGTAACGTTTGAATATATTATTAAATTAAAATAATCAATTCTTATCATTATGCCATTTTCCTTTATGTTATATAATATTATTACAATTTTGATACAGGCAGGACACACATTCTAAAATACTTATTAAAATATTAAATATCTGTTTGAATTTTAACATGATATATCAGGAATAAAGAAAGCTTTTTATGAAATATTTTTTACGTAAATGTTTAAAGGACTACTTGTATTAAATTTGTTATGAAGTTATGAAAATTGGTAAAATACTATTTTTATTTACCAATATAAAAAAGATATATACAGACCTGTAAATACACATGCTTCATACATCCAAATTTGTGTCAGACTTATCTTCGTTATATTTACCTAATTTATACTACAGAGAAAATTCTAAAGACCTACCTCGATTTTGTCCCTTTATCAATGTTTTTTCAATCTGACTGATGTTCTTCATTTCTTTTAATTTATATATTTTAGGTATATTAGACCTTACTTAAGAATTCGATTTGTTTTCACTGAGAAATAATAATTGAAGTTATGTTTTCCTACCTTTTCATGTAATATTTCATTATAAACTATGCAAGTAAAATTAATGTACATATATTAATAGTAATAAGAATTGCAAAAGCTAAAGTATAGACATCTTTGTTTTGAAATTTAAATATTTCCATATATGTAGAATAGTCCATAGCTTTTATATGGAAATCAGTGTTATTGCACATCAGATTGGCAATATATTTTAATATTTTATAAAACTTGTTTCGAGTTCGTTTAAATTTAAATTTAATTTTAAATTTTAACAAAAATTTTCCTAAAGCCTATAAATAAAGATACTTTCTTATATGGCTGAGGATACATATTTAGGTTAATTAACTTTATTTTTATGGGTTTCTTATCTGTACATATGGGTGGAAAGAAATAGGCTCTAGTTAATTTTAACACGCCAGTTACATAGGTGCCTGGCACAGCAAACCACGGCACGTTAAATGTTAGATTAAAAATGACAAAATATAATTTATCAATCTTCGAAGTCTGCTAGATAATAAATCAGAATCGGTAACGTCATACACAGGCATGACTCTGACGGCGTACGTTTAATATTTATGCATATACATAAGTATATTATATATGAAACTAAGGAAAAAGTCTATATTTATTTATTTCTCGATTAAGGTCATAAAAGGATCAAAAGAAGGAAATGAAACTATCTTCGAAAAACCGATAAAATAACTGTATTTGTACTACTGTACTGTAAAACATTTATTTATAACCATTTCTTTTCTAACATTCAAACATTCCTGAATGCAAAGATTATGTTCTCATACTCACCTAAACCTCTAAGTCTATATTTCTAAAAAATATAGGTAACGAAAATGGTACAGGAATGTGAAGAATTCTATGAACATTTTTTAAATTATAAAAGTATTTAATTTATAAAATAAGGTAATCTTAGACATGAACATGAAGTAAATTGTTATATTACTTTATTAATTTTGTTATTACTATGTAGTGACTTTTATTATTTTCTTTTTTTTCGTAATTTTATAAAATATGAACGTAAAAAAAGAGCTTGCTTCCTCTTGAAATATTTTATCCAGCCCAAAAACACCAACAACGGCGTAGAAATAAACACCCTCAAAATAAGCTAAATAACTCATTAAATGACGTTAATTCACATCAATAATTTTAAATTTCTCAAAAATCACCTCTAGTTTCAGAGAAAACACAAAAAACTTATACTAATTATTTATTTCATCTGAATTCATGTAATGAACAGAAAAACGAGTATTAAAAAAAATTGAACTCGTTACTTCAAAATATATTGTGAAATTGGATAGAGGCAAATAGCATCACGTATAAATTGATAGCATACTCGAAGCTAAAATTTATGTATTTATGTATATATATTTATGTATATTCCTTCTCTCATTTTATTGTACCTATGCCACATTTCTCTTCTCATTTCCTCTATCAAAAGGGTTTCTGGTAGAGATCTCTTTTAAGAGATAAGTTATCCTTGTACATCACATTTCTTTTATAATACTTTTTTTGTAACTATTTTTTTTTCTTTTTGGTACATAATAAATAAATAAATAAAATTTATAATACAAATATATAAACATATTTTTCTAAAATTATATAATATTTTAAGAAATACATAGCATATTACATAAAACTTGTATTTATTAGATAGGGGCGGCCACTTACACCTACACCTGGGTAGCAAGTCTCAGCCACTGTTGAAGCTCCTCTCCCTGCAACGCAATGGACTCGTCACCCGCACGCTAAATTCATTTGATGCCAAGAGATTTCGTTTCAATACATAAATAGTGTTGTTATAAGTAGTTTAAAACAAATAACTACTAAATATTTTTATACAGCCGAACTTTGTCAGACTTAATTGGACTCGACGCAGCTCTACGACTTATTGACACAGGCAGAACACTTGAACTTGTGTTAAACATTGCATGATTTTGCTTGGAGGATTTCCTTTAACGTTGTGGTCGCTTTTAGTAGTAATCTTTTTCCTTACAGGTGTTATACAGTTTGCTAAATTTTCCATTGATTTTCTAACGAGTTCTTGGGCTTTTGACGGTTCTCTAAGAAGTTCAGATTTTGGAGATGCATTTGTGATGTCAAGAAGTTCCTCAGCATAAGGTCTATCAGCTCGAAGGGGCACCACTAAGCACTTTGCTAAGAGTGAATCGTAAATGACCCATGGATGAACTTTATCAAAGAGTTCTGTTGCAACAATACCAGCGCCACGCATTAATTCTTCAGGACCTGTAGAGGTTAGTTCAATGATAATAACAAATCCTTAATTGGGTGGTAATTATGGAATAAACTATGAAGTAAGACGACTAACCTCCAGGATGGTAGGGTAAATAAAATGTTATATTATAAACTCTTCCCCTAATTGCGAGCCACGCGTCTTCTGTAAATTTTAAACGTTGAAATTTAATTAATTGTAATTAAATTCAAGTTAAGATATTGTTTGGGATATTGTTTGTATTACAAATAACTTCTATAATTTAAATCGTTCGAAAAATTTTCAAGAACTTCTTTTTAAAACCTTTAATTAATAAAGAAAGTTAATAAGTTATTAAAGATTTATCACATGCTTTATAAACTTAGCCGACGTTTCGATTATGAGAAATAAATTAATAAATATGCGTAATATATCCCAAGAACATGGTTTCTTTTGTTTTATTATAGAGTGGAAATGACAATTCAATTTAAGAGACTAAATAAATAAACAAAATAATCATTTATTTTTATAAAAGAAAAAAGTAAGAGATCTAGTTTACGCTGTGTACTGTATGTCGACAGTTCCGTGGGTGTAACGGGTCTGATGCGGCCGCTGATTCCGTTCAAGTCTTTCCCCGAATTTCCCAGCCTGATCCAGTCCATGAGACTGTGACCTGGTTGAAGAACGCATTTGTTGCGAGGATTACCTGAGATAGAAAATATTATTAACATTTACCCTCGTTGTATAATATAACCTTGGGTATAACGTTATTTTTAATTTTTTTATGTTCAATTTCTCTTCTCAGTATATGCCTTCTTATACTTTTGGCTAAAATAACATTATTTATACATTCTTAAACATTATACACATATGTATGTTGTGGACTTATGTTGTGGGTGTAATTTATGTATATAAAATATTTATACTTAAAATATAAGTGTGATCGTGTTTGTGTGTTCGTTAAATGGTCAATGATTATAACCAACTAATGTTGCCTTTGGTTTTTCCACAACTCGAAGGTAATATAAATAGGATTGTCGCTCTTGGCCTCAACGGTATAGAACCTGTGTTAAAATTAAATACTTTTTACTTAGTGGTATGTAAATATTATATTTGTAAAATAAAAACGATCGACGCTTCTTTAAAAACACTGTCGCACTCTTACTCTTAATTATTTCCTATAAACTAATAGCAAAATAAAGAAGTCACTTCAACTTTCTTCGTACAATCTGACAATATATAATTTCAAAGACAGTTGCTTTTTTGTAAGTTGCTAGAATTTAAAAGTACGTACTATTTCCTCTTTCACTGTCTTGGAGATGAAATCGTTATTTTCTAGGTAAAAAGCGTTGATTGAAGAAAGTATAATTAATAACGTGTTAATATTTCACTTACCTAATTAGCTAGACATACATTACATTACGAAATCTTATATATAACATGAAACATTGCTTCGGAGATATATCTTACAACAGATGACTTACATTTTTGATGCAAATAATCTAAATCAGATTTTATTGACGTTTCACATGTTATTTTATTATGTAAATTCAATTTCGCTCTAGGCTTCTTTGAAAGTTTATTTTTGATCTTGAGTTTGTTAAGAATTTTACGTAATTTTACTTTTAAAATTCCTACGGCTTAGAGTTCAAGGACTTTTTAAATGATTTATGAGTTATTTACTCTTACAGCCTTGGCATCTATTTACGGGAAAAAATATAACTTTAGTTATAATAAATGGCAATTCCCCAAAATAGCTCTGACGCTTGACCACAATTCCACGTTCTATTTAAAATGTAACAAAAAGCCAACTATCAATGTCAGACGTTTTAGGATAAATCCATTTTTAGTTAGTAAATACACGAGCCTGTTTATGAAAAGCAACGACAATAATAAACATTCTAAAATAACCTATTACAGGATTTTCGTCAATAAAATCTAAAACAAACATAAAAGAATAAAATATATCGCCTGACGAGGCCTTATATAGATAAAGCTATAGAGTTGGGATTATAAACGGATAAATTTTAAATTGATTTAAAAAAATGTCTTCTGCTGCATGATGTAGGTAATACTGAAGTATATCGTAGGTATTTGAAAATAATAGATATATGAAAATAAAGTTAATAAATTTTTATGCATGGAAATCGAATAAGTAGTAAGTTATTGTGATATTGGCGTATTTCAGATTCATTTCAACTAGTTTGAATCATGTCGAATTTCGACCCTCGCTCTTCAAGTTTTAATGTTATTTCCATTTTGCAAATTGAATTTGAAAAAGGTCTCAACTTTGTCTTGTTTATTTATTTATCAATTATACATATTTGGTGAGCAGCTTCGCTTGATAGGTAAAGTTTTAAATTAATTTAGGAGTTTTATAAGAAAAAGGAATATATGTATAAGTTACTGTTTCACAACATTTACGTATATATAAGATGAAAACAAATCTTTTGCTAGAAATATTAGGACAGGCGCTGGCCATCAAACGTAATTCTCCGAAAATCTACATACCAATTATGCAAATGCAAATATTTCAACTCAGCAATATATATTGAACATCAACAACGCGCTTAATAACTCAATAATAAATGATAAACGGTATTACCATTAATTATAATTAATACTTCAGAAATATACGTAAATAATTTATCCAATAAAACAAACTAACAATTCTATTTAAACACATTAAAGGAAATTTTAATATTAATTAGACAATGACATTCAACATAAATAACTATTGAGGTCCATTTTGTTGCGTACTTACGAAATGTCAAAGTTTGAATCGAAATTATAATTCATAACGTAAATTATTTTTACAAAATAAACCAAATATATTTAAATTCTCAAATAATAATAATACATATCAGGATATGCTTTACATATGTAATTTGGCTAAAAAAGTTAATGTTAATACCATTCTAATTGCATACCGTGGTCTAGTTGTTTCTTTTTTAAGATTTGGCATTATATACCGGGGTAACTGTTGTCAAAAGGAAAGTATTTTTAAGGGTCAAAAACGATGCCTTAGATCTATTTTCAACTTTAAAGTCACGGACAGCTGTATACCGATTTATAGGAAATATAACCTTGTTTATATATGTATATTCGAAATTGCAGTCTTTGTGAAAACAAATAAGCACCTTTTTCATTCATTAAGAGAAACGAGAAATCGCGCTATAAATCTAAGGTCTCAATATCATAATCTTTTATGTACAGGCAACTACAAAACTGCTTTATTGAGAAGGAACATATTGACCATGGCCCCTATTATACATATATAACAAAATACCGAATGAGATAAAAGATTTAACTTATGTAAAATTAAAAACTTTTGTTTTCTTTACTAGTTAACAAGTGTTATTACTCCGTAAATGATTTTCTAATGGATAAGACATAATTTTGTAAGAAATTGCTAAATAAAAAATGTATTAAATATATAACTTAAACATCTATCTATCTATCTATCTATCTATCATTAATAAATACACATTAATGTGTTATTGAGTATATAAAAAAAGAAATAAGACTTAGGTTTTAAACTTAAAATTGAAACACTTTCTTGGCTATTAAAAAACCCGAACACCATAATTTACCGAATGGCTTGTAAACGTTACTTTTTTTCGAAGGATTTTCCAATAAATGTACATGTTAAAAGAAACAATAAAAAGTGAAGTACTTTAAATATCACAAATAAAAAAATATAAACAATTAAAATATATCATATTATATAAATAATATTAAGTGCTTGTGTTAAGTGGGGCCACAAAATAAGCCAAAATTATATTTATTGAAAGTTTTACTTTTTTGAATCTTTATGACCAAACATAGCAGAGTCGACTTCCAAATATTTATCTAGAATAATATCCCTTTCGGAGATAGAAGTGAGATATATTTTGGGGAACACCCCAAATATTATTCCAAAATTATTAGTACGCTATTTTCTATCTACATGTCTTCTGTAACGTGACTTGAATCTCGAATCAAAATAAAGCAATTTAAGCATTTAAACTTGTTATTACAAGTAGGCCAGTGCAGATGCCTCTAAAAATGATGAAAAGTGAAAATAAATTATAGTAGAATGAAACCCATTAGAAAGGAGGGGAATATTATAAAATTTAAAGGAAAAATAATTTACGGGCGATCTGAGGTCGGGAAGGGTACGGGCCCACGCCCACGTATTTAAGGGTAAAAAATGGGTTTTCTCGATTTCCGGCAAAACTGAGAGTCCTACGAAAAAATGTTATACAGCAAAGTTGTAGGTAATAAAAAGATCTAAAACTTTTGTACTAACATTTTTTTCATATAACCTGAAAATTTATGTGATAAATTTGACAAACCAAGTTATTGGTTTTTTATTTTTTATCTCTTACTAGTTTTTGCCCGCGACTTTGTCCGCGTTAATTTCGTCATTAGTAATATAGGTATAGCTAACCGGGCAAACTCTATGCCATCTTCAATAACCCGGTATTGGTATTTATTAAATTTCTACTGTTTCAATCGAACAGAATGATTGACATATTAGTTAGTTGTCAAGTCTAATGTCAAAAAATCGTTTGTATGGGAAATAGAAAAGGGGTGTCTTTAGGGTTTTCCCGGCAATTTTTCCAATTTTTCTCACCTTTTAAACCTTCCCTGGACTTCCAGGAGTATTTCAAGACTAAAATTAGCCAAATCAGTTCAGCCGTTCTCGAGTTTTAGCGAGACTAAGGAACAGCAATCCATTTTTATATATATAGAAGACTAGAAGACCTGGCGAACTTCGTATCGCCCTATAATCAAGAAATATCTATTACGTTTTTTTAATTATATTTTTGGAGTTTACCTGTAAGCCATAAATCTCCGTGTTTTGAAGTGCGTCAGAATGATTGAAATATTAGGTAGTTGTCAAATCTAATGTAAAAAAAACGTTTGTATGGGAAATAGAAAAGGGCTGTTTTTATGGTTTTCCCAGTAATGAATCAATTTTTTTCAGCTTTTATACCTTCCCTGAACCTCCACTAACATTTCAAGACTAAGATAAAATAAATCCGTTCAGCTGTTCTCGAGTTTTAGCGAGACTAAGGAACAGCAATCCATTTTTATATATATAGATAAACTATTTTGTGTTACAAAATTGGGTGAAAACTTTCCTTTTGATGTTACAAATGCACTGTAATTTATTTGATTAGAAATATTTATTTTTCCAGCTTATTTTGAATAAATACCTAAAAATCGGCCTCATTTTCAATAGAAAAATCACCTGTCAAAATATCAGTATTTTTTCAACAATTTGGTGTACCCTTCCCGAACTCAGATCACCTGTAAATTATTTTTCCTTTAAATTTTATAATATTCCCCTCCTTTTTTAATGAGTTTCATTCTACTATAATTTAATTATGTTTTAAAAACTATCGGCACTGGTCTAAAGTGACTTCAAGCATTTGGTATTCAAAATCTTACAAACCTGGAGCATTGAATGTTTCATTTAATCTGTTATTCTCACAAATTAGATAAATTACTTTTAGAAATACAATTTATAAGGCGATTAAGCCGAAATTTTAAAGAGTTATAATACGTTGACATAAAACTGATCATATTTTTGTAACTCTTGCAGATGATTTTATTATTTTGGGTTACAATAATTAAATGATTGAAACTCATTCAAATAATTCGAATAAACGTACAAAATACCGGAAAATAAATGCGTTAGCAATAGAGAAAATAAAACCTTTTTACTAACTTTCCTTTCTCGTTAAAGAGTGTACACACGTTAAGGGCACTACCATATTTATTTTACTAAAGGTCACTTTCTGATAATAAAATGACTCAGCTTTAACCTGTAAGACAAACAATCTCAAAAGGTATAATAAATATTTTCATTATTATAAAATTCGTTTATGGTCATTACGTATGTATCTAGTACATAATATACCTTTTAAACTCATTTTTCTTCTGACATATTTTTGTTTTAAATGGTCGTTAGATAAGGGACTCCTTCAATCTACACCTGGGTCGCAAGTCCCAGGCATTGTTGATGCTCCTCTCCCTGCAACGAGATAGACCTGGTACCCGCACGGTGAATCCATTGAATGCTTAGGGGTTTCGTATCAGCACTATATAAACCTTTTAAAAAATATATAATCTTTTCTTTTTAAGATAACATCATGCATGTATTCTCGTATTTTCGTGTAATAATTTAGTTATTTTATTTTATTTATTAATCGTAAATAATATGTAAAAAACATTCTACAATCCTATAAAACAGCAAAGGGGTATCAATATGCTATGTCAATTGACCCCTCTAAAATTTTTTTGAATAGGAAGAGCTTTATACGAATAGAAAATACAATTCATTTTCTAGAAAAATCTTTTATTGCTTTTGATAAATTGCGTCATATTTAAACAATTATTTTGTAAACTATTTAACATGAAAATTCTAAAATACGTTTAAATATTAGTTGGCAAATTACCTACTTTTATTACAACGGACAACTATGAAACTATGTGTTGTTCAAAATTGAACTGTACGACATTAGTATAATTTGTCTAAAATGTAAGTATATGAGATCCTATACTTGTTATTTTTGCATTGTATCCATAAATTGCGTATGCCATTCTTATACACACTCCATTTTTAAGTACAAAAGTAGTTATGTATGTTTTATTTAACATTCTGGTTTCTTCTATTTAGTATTTGGTTACTATAGGTATGTTATTTGTTGCATAAGACATATAGATCTAAGCGCACGGTAGTGCGCCGGCCAAGTTCCACAGGCCGGCGCATGCCGTGCACTATATTTACTCGAACCGTTTCGACCCACTTTTGACCCCCCTGTAGCTCAGTGCCTATTGCAAGCAAAGAGATAAAATTGTACCTACGTAATCATTTACTAGTACTAAAGCAGTATGCCAAATTTCATAGATAAAGCTTCAGTAGATCCTGAAATATGATTCTGTGAAAATAGCTAATTTTGGCACTGACTCACTGACAGGTAATCAAAACCTCTAGGCCACTTCCCATGTTTTAGCATTATGAAATTTGGTACACAGGTTGTGTGTTATATGTAGATTAACAAAAAATTAAGAAATTTAAGAAATCGGTCAAGCGTGAGTTGCCTCAATTCTAAATATCGATTTTTTAATAAATTCAACCCACTTTTGACCCCCTGTAACTCAGTGCCTATTGCAAGTATAGAGATAAAATTGTACCTACGTAATTATATACTAGTACTAAAGCAATATGCCAAATTTCATAGATAAAGCTTCAGTAGATCCTGAAATATGACCCTGTGAAGATAGCTAATTTTGGCAGGTTAATCCCTACTCCCTACTAATATTATAAATGCGAAAGTAACTCTGTCTGTCTGTCTGTCTGTCTGTCTGTCTGCTACGCTTTCACGCCTAAACCACTGAACTGATTTTAATGAAATTCGGTACAGAGATAGAGTTGACCTTGAGAAAGAACATAGGATAGTTTTTATCCCAGACTTTTGAAAGGTTCTCTTGGAAACGCGATATAACCGAACTCCACGCGGCGAAGCTGCGGGCGGAAAGCTAGTTTAATTATATAAATAAAAAATTAATGATACAATTAATTAAGTGTTACGTACAGCACGAAAACCTACCAAGTTCAATTTTAGAAGTGTTATAATTTTAGATATTTCGACCAATCACCTACGTATTTTCACAACTATACCATATTTTAAGTTGGGTGTATGGTAAAGTGAATTTCGGCCAGATGGACCGTTGACGTGAATAAGGTGGCGGGTTGTGGCTGGATGTGGAAGGCAGAGGACTGGGTGTGGTGGCGAGTCTTGGGAATGGCAAATGTTTACCAGTGGATAATTCTGTTGATGAAGATGATTATGATCGATTTCAAAGTGCATCTAAACTTGGCATTAGATTGGATTTCAACCCTTTTTTAGGCAAACAATTAGCCGATTGGAACTTGGCCCCCTTTTTAACAGACATGTTTTTGGTGAGATATTATTTAAAAAATAATAATAATTAGATTCGACATTATATATCCAGTAACTATAAACTTTATACACACATAGATATATGAAATAGTGAATATATGTAGTTGCACGATTCGCTTTAAAAGCATCACAAATTGAAGCAACAAACTGCTAAGAGTATTTTATTGAATCAATATAAATCCTAGAAAGGCATGGACGTAGTTCAATACGTCACAGTTCACTACGTAACGATGTTTATTTCTATAATAATATGTTTAAAAGCTGTGTAATTGCTTTTAATTTGCTATTAGTATTAAAAAAAACAACTGTACAGCCAGTATTGGTACTAGTAACAACAAGAAAACGATTTTTTTTATTGTGTACCATGAGATAATATGAAGTTTCGCATATTAATTATTCGTAAGAACGCGTGTAGTCTAAAGAGGCAATTTAAAAACATTCTTTAAGAAAAAAAATAATATAGAAGCAACATTATACGGCGACCTAGATTCTAATATAAATGAAGATGTAACATCTTGGTGTTAGTTTAAAAAACTTACACTTAAAAAATATGTATTTTATAAAAACTCATAATAATTGCAACATAAGTATATCACTTTATATTTGATAGCTAAGAATGTTTTTTTATCAAGTTATAACCCTAGTACCTCATGTTCAATGATTGTTGTGTACTGAAGCAATGCTTTTAGAAATAACGTGAGGCTTGTCATGTAAACAACAAAAAAATATAAGATTTTATTAATTCCAAACTTATTTATCATCGTAACAAAATTAAACGACAGTATTCTTTTTATCCTCATTTTGAATTAGTTTGAGGGTCTCATAAATCTACTTAAAAAACTTAAAACTTCCTGATTCTACTTTTATCTGTGCAAATGCGATTCAGTCTCTGGTGTAAAACACATCAATGGTTTTAATTTATTTTTTCAACAAACCACCAAATAAATATACGACGGTTAATTTATCTTAAGGGGGCGATCATTTATTTTTATCGTTTAGGGGTCAAGAGAGAAAAAGGCAATTAAAATGTAAAAATTTAAATAAAAAAAAAGGTCACTTGTTATCGGATTTGCGTTTTCAACTTAACACGCGTAAACCATATACGCGATTTATGAAAAAAGATTAGAAGAAATTGTCGTACAACAATATTGTTTACCAACACCTAGGTGACACAACAATAAAAGTCAGCGATTGACACAAAAAATGGTGACGTATGGCAGACATACTTACCTTTTACGGCCTTTCACTCGAATTCTCTTCTATGTTAAAAAGTTTATTGTCACGATAGATAGAATAGCTGAATTGCTTTATTTTTTATTTGTTTGCGATGAATATGCAATACCTACTTATTTCCTACTCTGATTTAAAAATCTCTTTTTATATCTATCAAGGATTAAAGTTTACTTAAATTTAAAAAAAATATTTCCAATTTGCTAATATAATATAATTAGAAAATCACAATATGAATTATTATTTTAGTCCTAGGAAACAGTTTCCTTTCACAACAAAGCAATATGTTCGAAATTATAAAGATATTTTACATAGGTTTGTAATTATTTAACGTTCTATTAATAACCACGATAAAAGTTGAATTTTTTCAAAATTCTTTATAAAACCTTTTTTTGTACAGAATCACACGCAAATTTCATATTTTCTTAATTATTTATAGTATACCAATTAATAAATGCAAATTTTCTAGTAGACAATTCATTACAAAACAAAGAAACTGCAAGTGCGACATAAAGTATTTTAACGGGTAAATCCTTTGAAATAATAAAATATCTCCTTAAAGGCAAAATACTGTCAATGTTGGAAAAACAAAGCTAACAACTCATCTGCGATTTCATTTATGTTGCCAACGTTCGTGGACGGCTATAATCATTTACCACCAAACCAGACGTACGAGTATTTTCGTTTATGATTTTTTTTATGTTTTTATGTGAAAGGTGGCAAACGGGAGGGGTAGGAATATTGAAATTGTAGGTAGGAAAAGGTGGAAACAGGAAAAGGGCAAATGGCTCACTCATCGGACGAAACGCAGCCATTAAAGCCTACTTCACGCCGATCTTCTTTGAGAGGGTGGTACTTCCCCGGTCGAGCCAACCCATCTTCGAGCTGTAGTAACTTCACCACAGCTAGGCTCTACCACCTATAAAATTCGTTTGATCTTACTGAGATAAAAAAATGTATTTTATTATCTTGATATATTGTACTCTAAAATCAGTATTAACTCATAAACTTAGTAAATTTAAACTAATCTTGGCCTATAGTTGTATTTTATAATCTAGAACAATATAAATACGATTAAATTCCGAAGGTTTTTTTCTATTTATAAAGCACAATTAACACTCAATGGTATGCATAGAATGTCTAATAATGAGAAAAATACTTTGATCTTAGTCATATTATAAGAAATAAGTATATTCTACGAAATAAATAGAGTAAGACAAAAGTCCTGTGACAAGATAGTACTTGCTTTTAAAATGTTATTTTAACTAACTACAATAAAATAAGGTCGAATATAAAATCAAAAAATCATTTTATCACTTTTTGTGTTTAAGATAAAAGTCCTCTATTATGTCGGAAAATTAAAAATTACAGACGATAAACTAACATGTTTGTGCACGTGATGCATGTTGGCTAAAACAGGTTATTTGTTTCATATCAAGGCTAAAAATATATTATATAAAGTGAAGAGAGGCGTATTGCTTGAAACTTCTCTTGATATTTTCCAATTTATATGAACGGTGTTGGGAGTCTGTGGAAACATACTAGTATATTCTATATCCTTTCTGCTGAATTTATTC